GCCAGAATTATGTGTAGCATTTCAGGTAATGTAGTATTCCTGCCTATACACATCTGTTGTGGCAGTAATTCCACTGGCACCTTGTTTGTTACAGGATGAGTAAAATTTGTCATTTGCCTTCCAGTCTGAAAGTTGCCTTTCTGCATCAACTGCAGTCTGGTTTGTGTTCCAAGTCCCTGCTTAGCCATTTTTCCATTGTAAGACCATGGCATGGCTGTTCATATATGTTTGTTGCTGGATCCTTTGGTGAAACTGTTGTATTTTTGAAGCATGAGATGATAATTAGAGTTTGAATTTATGCCATCAAACTAGCCAGATAATGCAATAGTGACTTCTGTTTAAATAAATGTTTGGTTGATACTACCAATAGCTTTGTGTGTAGCCAGTTTTCTGACTGTGTTGAGGCTTGGGAGAAACATGCTGCATGGCACTCAAAGAATAAGAAGCTTCTTTTTCTAAAATAGTTAATGTCCTGACATGGTGAAACTCCTTCTGAGCCAGGTTACCTGGCAGATTGTTCTAACAATTGTGTTCCATTGTAGGATTTTAAAATTGTTTAGATTTGGAAAGACCTGAATCATCAAGTGCAACCATTAACCCAGTACTGCTGAGTCCACCACTAAACCATGTCCCTCAGTAACAACACATCTGTGCATTTTTTAAATACCTCCAAGGATGGCAACACAACCACTTCCCTGGGCATCCTGTTCCGGGGCTTGACAAGCATTTTGGTGAAATATTTTTTCCTGAAAGCTGATCTTAACCTCCCCTGTGCAATTTGAATTATAGATATATGGATGGTAATACTGCAAAGCTACCCTTTGCAGTGTACGTTCCCTGTGGACCACAAAGATTAGCAAGTGTCAAGAGCGGGGCTGAAATGGCACTTGCAGTAGAGCTAGAAATCCTCGTTGATGTGGAGAATGCAGTGTCTTGGCTCGTGAGAAGTGTTGTAGTGGTGGAGAGCTTTGTGGGAAATGTGGGAATAACACTGAAGGAAGCAGTTTATGTTCATAAAAATTGTGCTGACTTCAGCTCATATTTTATGTGAAAGATAATTGTTGCTAGTGCAAAAAAAAGATTTGCCTTAGTCATGCTGCAGTTTTCCTGGCTCCCTTAGTGCTGCTGTTGATTATTTAATAACATCCTGTTTTACTTCACTTTGTCCTTGAAGTAATTTAATAATTTTATGCATCATTGAGACACTTTGATTTACTGTCCCTCAGCTGCTCCATAGCTGTGGAATGAGTATTTCTTCATTTCAAAAGGGAGAGGGAGCAACCTTAATGGGAGCCCAGGACTTGCATACAGGGATGCTGTTTCCATTACTGGATCTTGGATAATATAAAAGCAAGGGCAAGACCAGTCAGGGACAGCATGGGCTTCTAACACTCAAGTCAAAATAGATCTATTGGCATCTTTGTCATTCACTGATTTCTATTTCTTTGAAAGTCTGTTGGGTCTCCTTTGTAAGCTGGTACCTAGACTAACTAATATAAGAGAAACCCTTGTAGTTGGGGAAGTAGATTTGAATCATCATGTGATAGACAAATGAAAAGGAAGACAATTTACTGTGGGTCAAACACATAATTTTTCTTTGTGTTCTACAGAACTGAGCTAAGATAGACAGAAGCAGTTAGATAGCGAAGTCATTAGGCCAAAAAATAGCCTTTATCATTAGCAGGCATCATACTGATAGTCAAAGCATGTTTCTTGCAATCTACTTTGTCTGAACTATCTTTGAACTCTCAGCTGCTGAACACAAGTCAAGTCATCTGGTAGGAAAGGCATGTGGTTTATGGGCTAGAGAGGCCTAGTTCATGGAGACTGAGGTTGCTGAAAAGGCTCTTTACAGCCCATGTGGTATGTTATCATCTGCATGAGCTCTTTCTGCCCTTCAGACAGACTTTGCATTTGTAACTGTGAGTATTTCATCCTTTCCAAGACAGTGATTCAGGAATCATCTGTCACCACTGCAGCAATCATTTCCTTCTTCTGTTGGTTTTACTGATGTATATTAGCCATCCTATTCACTGGGTTACTTGTGTCGGAGTGGCTTTGACTGAACCCATGAGGTCTTTTAAGCAGACTGAAAGAATATGGAGTTAATAGTTATTCAGCACAAAAGACAAAGGCAGAAACCAGCAAGAATGATAAACTGAGTACACAGATGCATAAACAGTAACAGCTGCTGTCAGTGACAGTAACAAAGGCCAGAACTCCTAAGTTGGTGGTGGGCTGCAAAAGGAAATTTCTCAGATGCGTTGGAGAGTATCAGCTGGGACTTTGTAACTTATGAGAAGGAAGGCAGGTTGCTGTGGATTTTTTAGGAGGATAGTGGGGGTTTTGGGTATTTGAGAGGACTGCTGGGATGTTTAGAGAAAAAATAAAAGGCAGTGAAGGGGAGTGATCAAGGTGAATTAGGGAGGAAAAAGCAAGGAATGCTGTGAATCTCAAATTCTGCAGTATTGACTACCTCTAGAACAAACAGGGGCGAATTCTTTCCTTGTTGCCTCCCTGTACAGACAGGGAATCCTTCTGCTGTGTTACTTAAAAATTTCTCGTCTTTGTGTCATGTCCTGGACCTGCTTTGGTGATAGCTTCTCTGTGTATTCTCCAAGCTGAATCACGTTTGATATGCCGAGGTTGGACTTTTATAAGTAAGTGAGAGCTGCTACCCTGGGAATTAAGGAGTAGGATAGACTTAAAATGGCATCAGAAAGGGCAAAAGGGAGCATTACATTGTTTTTTAGAGTTCTGAGTAGTATCTGTGTCTTTCATCAAGGAACAGTTTGTTATATTTGGTACAGGTGTGTCCATCAGGCCACAGGATAATATTTTGGTATGGACGCACGGTTGGGGATCTATCATGTAATCTTTTGGTACAGTTAATTAAAATTTTTAGGAAAAATTTAGTATGTGAATTTATGCTGATTGAAGAAAAATTACTTAGTTACAAGGACTGGCACAGTGTATCCTTAAAGCCTGTAATGTTATTCACTGTAGGCTGATGCTATGCTGTACCTGTCTGGCATGCAGTTCATCTCCTCCACATCAGCCTGTAGGGTGGAGTGTGTTGGGTTTGTGACTAAAGCAGTGTTGATAAGCCACCAGTGCTTTGCCTATTGCTGACAGTGTTCACGCTTTCTCTGTTCCCCACTCCTGCCTCTCCTCCCTTTGGGGAGATGGACTTTGCTTGGAGACTGGCTGGGCATCTGTCTTGTGGGAAGTTGTATGTGATTGCCTTTGTGTTACTTCTGTTCTTTTGTTGTGAGTGTGGTGTTTAATTCCTCTTTCCTTTGCTTACTTAACTCTGTTATCCTCACTGACACATTTTCTTGCTTTTTTGTTTTTCCATTCACGTCTGACTGAAAGGGGTGAGCAAGTGGCTGTGTGGGGTTTAGCTGCTGGCTGGAGTGAAATTACCATGGGTGATCCCCACCTGTAATCGATTAAGACTTGCAAATAAGCATATTTTGGTTTTTCCAATGGTGATCTTATGCTTTATAGGAATTACAGGCATTTAAAGAATTTCATGCTTCTTGCGGATGCTGCCTTAAAGTGCCTGGGTGTAGTGCTTTTATAAATCTTTGAATTTTACCATGCTGAAACTCTATAGCCTTCTGCATTGATCTCTATTGTTGCTTTGTCTCCTCTACTCTGTCTCCCTGTTTGATCTCATACTTGAGGCAAAAGCTCTGTGGGTTATGGGTCCTTTTGCTCAAGAAATGCCACACTGAAGACTGGTCAGTGAGTCATAATGGGAGTCTGTCTCAAATGAATTAGGAAAGAAGGAAACAAACACATGTATATATGCTTCCATTTTACTATCTCAGTAGCAGCCAAAATTATAGCAACATGACAAAGTTATCAATAGAAAGGAATGATTTTTTTGTTTGTCTGTTACGTAGTGGAAAAATAGTATTTTATTGAGAATAGATTGTCTCAGAAGTACATTATGTATTCAAAGAGTAGTTCAATCTTCCCTTGACTTTTTTTTTTTAAAGAAAAAGACCTAATAATTCCTTTTAATAAAAAATGTCATCATTTTTGGCAAGATTTTGTCTAGTCTTGGGTAGTCATACTTAACCACAGTTTGCTTGGATAAAGCTTTTATTTCTTTCTTAGCAATTGAATGAGTACAGTATGATTGTAACATGACCAGTAGAGTTTAAATAGACTGATGTTGTCTGCATTCATTTCTTGTGCTGTATCTCATCTATGTTTTCCTTTTGGTGGGGTTAAAACTATAGTTTCTGAAGCAGCTGAGCTGGCTTAATGGCTCACTGATGCTGATAGAAGCTCCAGGCTTTCTTTGCTAGGGCTGCCTCTGCTGTTAGTTACCCTGATTTGTTTCAGCTAGAGCTCAGTACCAGGTTGCCTTTCCCCAGCTTGTGTTCGTACAGAATAGTTTTCTCTTGAACTGGGTGCTGTTTTATCGGTGGCTTCTGTGAATATACTAACTGGTGTAATATGTGCTGTGGCAAGGAGTTAGACCCATTTCTGTAGAAAGTGCTGACCTTGTAGATGAGCAGAGTCCACCTTACAAACCACATCTTGATTTAGCTGACTACAATGACAGGCTCTACATGAGCTATCCCATTCAGTCTCAAATGACTGCAACATTTTCAATTAGTTGGCAGCGTTTTCAGATAATTGGGATTGAGGAGAAAATGGGATACACCAAGTGGGACTGTTGAAGATTACAGCCTATGTGAAAGGGCAGATGCCACAATTGGCTGTTTGCAGTCATCTTGGTCCTGGAAAACAGTGAGGTTTACATAGACTTCAGCTTTTAGTAAATGAGTAGAAAGTGAATGCCCTGAGGGGGTTAGAAAGTGAATGCCCACTTTCAGCTTTGGTTTGAAACTAATGGCTGGTTCTTTCATGAAAAAAAGTGCTTTTCTGTGGCTGGCAGATTTCAGCTTTTCTTGTTTGTGTTGTAAGTATCCCAGCTCTAGATGTGTGAATATAACTGTTGTGGACCTTTTCTTTTGCAGTTGCTTCGGGAGCTCAAGCATCCGAATGTCATTTCTCTGCAAAAGGTGTTCCTTTCTCATGCTGACAGGAAAGTGTGGCTTCTCTTTGACTACGCTGAGCATGACCTCTGGGTAAGGTGAATTGTTTGTAGGTAGCAGGCTTAGTTTTAGTTACAGCAAAGGGACAAGGTCAGGGGAGACACATAATTTTTAAATACAGTGTACTGTGCTTACTCCATGTTTGCTGGAAGCATTTTCAGCACTAAAGGAAAAGCAATGGAAAATGCTGAGTCAAGAAACTACACAGTTAACCTGCAATCTCTTTAAGAAGATAAAAATCTGCAGTCAGCTCTCAGTAGCTAGAATTCTGCTTAAATAAATGATGCATTTATTACAGCTAAAGTAGGGTGCAGGAAAATGTAATTGATGCAGCTGAATTCCCTTTGAAAAATGACAGACTTATTAACTAAGCTATCCTAATCAGAAACTTTGATTGTCATTGTGAATACATGAAATGAGAGTAGTGCCACTGTATATTTAATATACATTTCATGGAAAGAATTTTTACTCAACTTGTCCACAGAAATTCTTTGTATTTGGGATGAAAGCTGTTTATTTCTAATTGCAAGATACAGCTTTAAAATAACCTGTTGGAGGCAAAGTAAATTAGTTTTAAGATACATACTATATTGCTCTGTTAACCCAATAGTTGTAAACTTAATATCCATTTGGAATACTTGAAAAAATAAAGTAGCATGGTAAAAAATTTAAAATGCAGCCTTGACTTCCCAGAAAAAAAGGTGTATGTGCCTCAGATTAATTCTGACATACATTTTGAGCATTGCTCTCAATGCTCCAAATAGGAACTTTAAAAGATGCTTAGATTCGTATCAAAGGGTGCAACAGAAACAATTTGGAACTAGGTGAAAATTCTTATGAATGTGTACCTGTGAAAATTACACAGTATGAATCATTAGTTGTTTTTCATCAGCATGTTGCTTAGCACAAATCAAAGTTAAACTAATTTCTTTGGAAAATGGTGTTTCTTGTAGTTGGGAATTATTCAGTATCATTTGCCTAAAAACTAATGTGTCAATTTTCTTCCCACTAAGCAAAATCTAAGCTATTTTCTCACAGTTGAATGTGTTGGAAGTTCTGATACTTGGTACTGGGATTTTGTTACCAATATAAAATTAGAGACAAAGAAGTTACCAAACAGCTGAAATATTGAGACATTCTAAAGTTTGATAAACAGAAACAACATCTTGAGGAAATGGAGTTCCAAGTTGGTTTGTTTTGTTTTTATTTTAAAATGAAAGAAAAATAAGACCTTTTTTTTCCACTACTCCCCCATGTTTATGATATGCTAAGCTACAGAAGTTTAGGAATGTTTGAGGATTGTTTTTGTTTCAAAATGTGCTACAAGACTTCATATTTGTTAGGATGATTATGACTATGACCTGTCCTTGTTTGTATTTATACATTTCTGCAGTGCTTCATACTTACCCTAAACCACCGCAGAAGTGTTTCTGTTAATGGAACACTGTTTTGTATATAAGTAACTTAGGAATGACCCTCTATTTTGACATTTATGCTTGCATGCACATACCTGTATGAACTCTAGAATTCCCAGCTGTGCCAGCTTCTGATTGTTCACTGTGTCTGGATGTTAGAGACTTAGTTGCAGTGACTGGGCTGGCTCTGTGCCCTAGAGAGCCTGCTATGGATCAAATCTTCTAGTGCAGTGTGTATTTAGCACAGCAGATCTCAAGAAAGGCTGGGAAAGGGCCAGATAATACAGTGTGTATTGGAGCAGGAACATAAAAAGTCTAGGACAGTCATCTGTTTTTCCGCCTGTCTCTAAAGATTCACTTCTTTCTGTCTCCACTTGAAATGAAAATAAATTTTCTTTTGGAGTTGGTGGAAGTGAAAGATAAAAGGAGGTGAAACTTGTGGTTACTTGTGCATGTGGTGCTTTTCTGACAGTGCAGTGACTGTCACTTTTTCATCAAAGCTTCTTTGCTCTGTGCATCTCCATTTTTACCATTGTCAGGGCAGAAATGTGCCTGTTCCTCACAGGAAAGCCAAGCTTGCTGCCTGAAGCAAAGAAGGACAGGTTGTATGGAGCTGGGCTGCAGCAGGAGAGGAAAGGCATTTTTCCAAAGGATGTTTAGGTAGTTGGGTTAGCTAGTTGTCACCTGGAATATGAGGGGTCGTGAGCATAGGAAGAGCACATGATAGAAGTTTGGTGCCGGGTTTTGTATAGACAAGATCTGGGCTGTTTTGATGGTCACACAAGTGCAAACCGTTACAGAAAAAATGTGTGAATATATAAAGAAGTTTGTTCTAGAAATTGCCTCTGTCTTTGAAGGAGGCAAACATAGAAATGGTTGCCATGACTATGGCACACCTTGCTGTTGAACTTAGTGACACTTGGGACTCAAGTGCTAAGACAACACATCCTTTTGGACTCCTCCTTGTTGCCAAATATCATCGCTTATAAGCTTAGAATTGCTAAAGCGTTTTTTTTTTCTGTGTCTGACTTGGTGGCTGACTTTCAGATGGACAGATTTATAGATTTCATTTGTCAACAGCTTCTGTTTTGAGAGTACTATGAGTACTGTTTTGAGAGTACTATGAGGGTATAATGAATAAAGAAGCAATAAATCTGGGCTTCTGATTTAAATGTATAAACTTCCCAATACAGTTCACAAAGATTTCTGCTTGCCATTATGTCTTGGATATAACAGTCATTATTTCTGTAGGAGAAAACCAAGAAAGAGAATAAGAACTGGGGGTAATAGACTTGTAGTTCTGTGATTTGATATACAGGACATCAGCCTATCTTAACAAAAAGACTGTCCAAACAAAAATGCCTCTGAAACCTTCAAGATCAGTGATCTGCAAGTAAATTTGCTTTGGTGGTTGTATTGGGTTTGTATTCCTCATACTCTGCAGAGCTTAGCTGCCTGCTGGGGTTAAGCACAGCAAAAATTGATTTCATTTTTGGGAGATTGCTTTGGGACAGTGATCACTTTACCTAGTACAATATTAATTTTTTAATACTTAAGGCACATGTTTCTAGTTTGGGAAACAAATCATCAAAGGTTAAAAAAATCCTAAGAAGTCTGTATAAGGAGTTGATGGCAATCTTTTTGTGTAAACATTGCACTTCCTTTATATTCATTTCTTTTTCCCCTTTGCAGCATATAATCAAGTTTCACAGGGCTTCTAAAGCAAACAAGAAACCAGTTCAGTTACCTCGGGGAATGGTGAAGTCGCTGTTATATCAGATCCTAGATGGTATTCACTACCTGCATGCTAACTGGGTGTTACACAGGGATTTGGTAAGTGGATCTGCAAGGGGTTTTAGCACTGGGATGATGATTGAGGGCAAGGGTTGGTTTTTTGAATGGAAAACCTCTGGGACATGAAAACCTTTGTGCTAAAAACGTGCACATAAGTATAGATTTTTATACTGCAGTCGGACAGCCTTGATTAGTAGAGTGAATTTTAAAAGCTGGCTGTGATCTGATACACTTACGAGAGCAAGTGTATCAGATGGTTTTTTTTATTTTATAAATAAACTGTTTTAAATGGGTTAATTTAAATAACAGGCATGTTGAAGTACAGCAAATGCCTCTAGTAGTATCACTGCAAGACAAGATAAATAACTAAATGCATCTTTGGTGTAGGTGGGGGAGAGTATGATTGGCTGTAAGAACAGCTGAAAAAAAGATTTTTTTCTGAAATTATCAGTTTAACATAGGAAAGAAACTTTTGAAAGCCATTATTTTCTCCTGATGTTTATAATCTACCAGCCATTAAGCCATGCCAGCTTTTGATTATTTCTGCAAGTAAAGTAGTGTTGATCCAAACTGCAATATAAGGAAAAGGTTTTGAACCTGAGTTAGTGTCTTTAACCAGCAGATTCTTTTCAGCTGGTGAATCTCAACAAATCTTACTTACTTGCCTTCAAAATATGCCCACAACTAACTGGTCTTTTTTGTCTGTTGTCTTGAAATTGGGTAGTTTTCCACTTGTCTGTAGCTCTTATTCTTTGATAGCATTCTTTCTTTCAACTTACTTCTAAGTGTGCCTATATATGATACTCCCACGCGGAAATGAAATTTCAGTACTTAGAAGTATCATTAGTTTGACCTTTTATTCCTATGTGTCAATATTACCAGTGCTATTCTGTCTTTGGTGAAATAAGTCTGGCTTGCTTACTATGCACCTTCTGAGTCACTATTTGTCTTTGAAATAGCTTTAATAGTGTTCCTGGAAATGTGGTCGAGGACTAATTATTTGTCATCTATTTTCATGCCTGATAAATGCTTTTACAGAATGCCAGTTTCTCCTTTTTAACTGAAGGAAAAAGGTTTACCTCTGATAAATAGCATTTTAAGTGCTGAAATACATCAAAACTTCGCTTTATTGCAGTGATTGTATGGACAGTTTTTCCTGGTTTTAGAAATTAAACAAAAGCCTCAGCACTGAGGGGAAAAGATCGAAAAGATTCTGGTGGCTTTCACCCTACTTTTGAAGTAGTGGAGCAAAACATAATGTAGAAATACATAGTGCATGTTATTACCTAGACAATTTTGCTATATTTTTAAGAGGCATACAGGAAGCAAATGATTTGCCATCAAGAATCGAAATTTTTCTGATGTTTTGCTTTCTATTATTTCAGAAAATTTGTAAACTTAAAATTATGCTTAAAAGAAAACCATGCATGTTGTTAAATGGATGGCTCAGGAGATTGGTAATTTATTACAGAGCCTTTCACATCTAGGTTTGTAGCTCAAATACAATTTAAGCTGGCAACTGCGAAAAAACTACTGCCATCTTCTTTTATGTGAAATGAGTTGGTGGTCTCAGTCCAGCATGAAGTTTTCTTCCAGTAGAAAATCCTCCATCACAATTGGCTATCTTTTGATAATCTGAGGAAGACCAAAAGCTTGAGGTAAAGACTGAGAGGTCTTCCCACTGGAACCTTGTCAAGCTGTATTGGTGAGAATCCTGTAAGAGCTGTACAGGGGCTTCCTGTGCTGCCTTATCCATGGATACCTTTGGACATGTGGTTTTTGTAAATGTCCACTTTGAGCTGAATTCAGAAGTTACATGTTTCATGCAGGACAAAAGACAGAATTGCAGCTGCCAATGCATTCTTTTTTTTATCAGGGTCTGGAAATAACCTGAGTAACAGAAGGGATTCTACCTAGCATTTTGTCTTGGAAAGACAGGGGCCTCTTGGTTAAGGTTGAGAATTGGGACTTCACTAACATGTTTATTCTGCTTCAAAGCAGAATAACTGACATTAATGCTTAGATATGAATTTTCTATTCCATTACAGGATACCTGTAATGTTAGTCTTGAGGAGTATCAGTGTTAAATCATCAATTTTAACTCCAGACTGGATGACTGGACAGATTTACTATGTTTTTCATACTATGCCTTTTAAACAATAGGTGTTGCTGTTGTTTCTAGATGTTTTATGTTTTCCTAGGTTTATAAACACCCACAGAGCTGCTTAAGTAACATCATTGCTTTCATGTCATATGCTAACTATTTCAAGCGTGATGGTGCTTGGGGTTGGTAGGAAGCTAAAGAGTACAGTACTTGGCAGAAAAATTTGTTGTTCTCTCGTCGGATAAGGATTTTTTTAAATGGATATGAATTATCTATTTAATTAGCTTCTAAGTGCAGAAGCTGGTTTTGGATTGGTTTTCTGCTGGGGTTTTTCTTTTGGTGGTTTTTTGAAGCTGTCTTAGTGAAGTTAGCTTCAAGTAGGTAATGGTTAAGGAGGTTTTGTTAAATTTTGACTTTCCTAACCAGCAACAAAACATGGTACAAAGCAACTCCTTTCTTGCTAGCATCTACAAGCCAGGCAGCAAAATTCAGTGGCTGTTAAAATCACATGAACTTGGACTGAAATTTGTCTTCACAGTGTTGGAATCAAGAAATCTCAATTCATGTAAGGTTTGTATAAAGTGATGAAACAAAAATCTGTAGGATGACAATAATTGTCGATTGTGGGTTTTGTAGTCATGGTGTGCCTTTTACAAAGGAAATGCATACAAATCTTCAGAAAGAAAAGGTCTGTTTTTCTTTCACTGGGTAAATGAAAGCCAGTTCACCATTTCCATCAGATCAAGGGAGATGCTGATTGTACTTACCTTTGAATACTGCGTTGAGTACTACTGTGCTTGAGTAGTTAGCTTTTTTATAAGTCTTTGAAACATACCAGTAAAATTTTTCAACAAAATAAATGCCAACCCTTTTAAAATTTCTTATTTGACTTGCATATTTTTCAGCTTTTTTGAATTTCATGGCTGAGAGCAATTGAAATCAGATTGTTTATTCATGCTCTGACTGTAGCAGGAAGGCAATAAGAATCCTTCATATAATTATCACAAAGTGCATCAATTATAGTTTTAATAATATTTTCAATTTAGGTACCAAGCATTCTTGAAACATACTGCATTTTGCTGACATATTTTCTGAGTATTTTTTCCACTTTGTAGTATGCAGCTGTTGACTTCTTAGTTTTCTCAAAGTTCTTATTCCACCTAAAAATAAGCATAAGCTGAAGAGTGGTCATAGGTCTGTTTTCATCAATATGCAGCCTCAACATCAAGGGAAAAGAGAGGATGTACTTCACAGCCTGCTTGTAAGGTTTTTTCAAGTAATGGGCTCAAAACAGAGGTCCCTTTGTGTGGTACAATAACTTGTAAGCCATGCCTGTTAGCATTTGAAAGTGCATCTCTATTTAATTTTTTTATAGTAGTCCTGTCCACACAGTCAGGGTCCAGTCTCAGGTAAGAGATGAGCACCCCTCCACTGCTTCTGTGTGGTGGCAGTAAGTAACATCAGTCTGCAATTTATATTAATAATGGAATTGGCACCTAAGCTATTTAAAATACTTTCATGGTGCATCAGTGCTTCAAAGCATGACACCACCACCTCCCCAGAAAAAAAAAAGAAACCTAACCCAAACAAAAAACCCAGAGGAAATCTCACATGTCTTGTAGTAGTGTAGCTGGGACTTTAGAATAAAATTATTTTTGTTCCTAAATCTTCAGACTACATTCCCTGGCCCATGTCTTTGTGCATGGTGTGAGTGGGTTTTGAACAGATGAATTGCCACTTGGCAAGTGAGGTATGGAAGTAGGTAACAGAGCGCTGGGCTTCTGCTTCCTGTTCTCCTCCTTCTGTCTCTTGCCAAAGGAATTAACAGTCTCCTAGCCTTTGTCAAGAGCATCCGTGTCCTAGTTAGTCTGAGATTGTGTCACTCTGTTTGTGAACATGTGCAATCTGGCATTAGTGCAGCCTAGTGAAGGTGTTCCCAGTGTGCAGCTCAGCTAAAGCGCTGCTGTGGGACATACATTGGCTTTTAATAAGCTTTGAGGCAGTCAGGCTTTAATACACTTGGCACGTAGCTTTCTGAGATCTGGACTCCTTCCAAGGATACCTGCTACCAGATTTGGGATTAGTGGGAACTTTAAAGGCGTTCTTTCAACAATGAATGAGGAAAAGCCACTGCCAGAGTCTTTTACTACAGACAGGATCTTAATCACTTTCCAGGCACCATAAAGTGAATCACTTAAATGTGTGCTTTAGGCAAAGTTAAATATATGGAACTTCTACCGTGGCAATTTACCATTTTCATCATTAGAACTCTAGAATCCAAGATGTCAATATTTAAGGATTACTTCAGATGTACAGAATGGCCTTCTGTCTTCCTGTAACACTTCCAGAGCTTTGAAGGCGTTAGGTATCTTCAGGGAGCCTTCTTTGGTTGTAGCTTTTTTATACAGTTTTTGTTATAATGAGCAAAACTTTATATCAATGTTTGAGGCATGAACTATTTCAGTCTCTGACAAGGAGTGAACCTAAATGCTTGAGAAGAAGAAAGTAGTAATAGTGCACATTACTAGAAATAAATTTGCAGCTTTAAAAAGCAGGGTGATTTTCTACACTGAGTAGATCAAGAAGTAATAGGTGTTATTTCCCAAAAGGTATTCTAATAACTTGCTAATGATTTGCTTTAAGAGGAGAGAAAAAAACCCAGCAATCCAAACCCAATCACTCTTGTGGTTGTCAGCTGTTATATTTCCCATGATTTTTGTTTCCAAGGTGTTTTTCTTTAGGTGTGTACTTCCATGAGATCACAAAAGAAGTGTGTCTGGCAGAACTTTGTTTTCTTGCATATGGTAATAATCACATGCTTTTCTGTGAGTTGTACTTTACTATGGTTCTAAATGTTCCATAGTTAAAATAATACTTTCTAGTGCTTGTACTTATAGGGAGCATGACTACTCCCTTGCCTGGCTTTCTAAGCACT